GTTGGCGCACTGGCAGTCCCGCCAGCGGCAGAAGCGCTTGTGGCCCTTGAGGCAGGACACGACGCCGTGGTTGCGGCACCGCGCGCACTTGGGCGTGCGGCTCAGCTTGCGCTGCTCCGCGGGCGGCGGCTCGGGCCGCGCCGGGGCCTCGCCCTCCTGCTCCTCTTCGTCGTCCTCCTCCTCCTCGTCCTCCTCCTCCAGGGGCTCCCCGCCGCCGGGCGCGGGGCGCTGCTCCGCCTCGTCCAGCTCCAGGCTCTCCACGTCGATGTCCCAGTCCTGCCCCTGGCCCGCGGGCGGCGCCGGCCCCTCGGCCATGGCTGCTGGGCTCAGCGCTGCAACACACAAGGCAGCGCGCTCCGGGGTGCCCGGCCCTCCTCCCTCCCCGGGCCCAGCATCACCCGCCTCCCTGTCCCCTTCGCTCCTCTCTCTGTTTTTTCGGCCTGGGGGCAGGACCGCATTAACCCGCTAGTGGGCCGCAGGCGAACAAGCTCGTTGGCCCCCGGCTGGAAAATAAGCACAGCTGAGCCCCTTCCTCACCTAGGGCCCTAGTTTGCCTGCACACTCATCCAGCCCTGCCTCGCGGAGCTTGGGGGCTGCACACTCCCGGCTTACTCTAAAGCAGCATTTCCCAACCAGTGTCCCACGGCAGGGTCAGAAATTAACAGGTGTGCCGCAGAATTTTGCCAGGGCAATGGGCTACCATAGGTCTGAGGATGGGGAATGCCTTAACAGGTGTGCCACGGAAATATTTTCTTAATGTAAGTGTGCCTTGGGCTGGAACAGGTTGGGAAGCACTGCTCTAAAGACAACAGAGACAGAAATCGACAGCGCCCAAGACCCTCCATGCAAGTGAGAGGGGCACAGTGGAAAAACTACTATTCAGACCCAGTTCTGGCTCCACTCTGTGCCCCTGTGCCACGCAGGAGACTGCAGCACTTGGGTTCTCCTGATAGGCAGCAATGGGCTCAAGTTGCAGCAAGGGAAATTTAGGCTGGATATTAGGGAAAACTCTCTCACTAGGAGGATACTCAAGCACTGGAGCAGGTCACCCAGACAGGCCGTGAAGTCTCCATCCTTGGAGGTTGTGAAGACCCTGGTAGACAAAGCCTTGGCT